ACCAAGCTACTTGTGGTAACCTGCTTTCTTGAATTTTTTTGTTCTTTTTGCTTTGAAGTCGCATCTGGGACACGGCTTCGGGCCAGTGCCTGAAGACGCTCATCGGTGAGTGCTGCTTGCCTGGGCTTGTGGCCTGTGCTCCGGCCTGCCGGGGCTTCTCCTGCCTTGTTTCCCGCCCTGCTTCGGAAGGGGTTTCTCCAAAGCCTCCCTTTTTCATGAGTCCGTCTGTTCTCCTCTGCTAGATCTGCTCCTTTGGGAGGCATCGTCCTCCTCTACTCCCATTCCCACCCCCCGTGAGCGCCTTCCGGACTGCTAATTAAATCTCTTCTTTCTTTTGGTGAAAATTTCCTGCTACGGCTTTTCCGCTCTCTGGCCAGTTTGGAGCACTTTGGCCTGTGCCCTAGGGCCTTGCTCAGGACTGGTTGGGTGGTCCTTCTCTGAGTGCCCATGAGCCCCTGCCTTGAAGCGTGCCCATCTGCTGGGGGTGCCCTGTAGTACCTGGGACAGGCCTGAGGTCTGTAGGTGGCATTTGACTCACGGCTGGGGATGAAGGGGGAAGGAAAGACTTGGCCTGGCCGCCGGGCATGGTGTGTGGGTGTCTGGCGGGTGGGTGAGGGGCCAGGGTCCCAACCTTGTGCTGGCAGGGCCTTCGTGCAGGAGCCTGGGAGGGTTTCATCAAGGCTGAGTTAGTGTTGGAACAGGCCGATCACCCTGTGCCAGCCTGGAGCATGAAGTTTTTGGTTAAAGGGTAAAGTAGGANCAGGCCGATCACCCTGTGCCAGCCTGGAGCATGAAGTTTTTGGTTAAAGGGTAAAGTAGGATGGGCATAGGCTCCTGGGGAAGCTGCTGGTTCTGTGCCATGAGGAGGGAGGTCGTCCCCTGGGGGTGCCACCCCCCCACCTCCTGGCTTCCTCCCTGGGCTGACATGCGGCTCTCTCTAGTCTGCTAGGCCTGCCTTGACAGCATACGTAGTCGGGGCTTCAGCCGCAGGGCTTGACCCTCACAGTTCTGGAGGCTGGACGTCTGAAATCAGGGTGCCCAGGGCAGGTTCTCCCGAGGCCTCTCCTTGTCTCCTCATGTGGTTGTCCCCTGTGCATGTGGGACCCAGGTCTCTTTATGTGTCTGAATTTCCTCTTATAAGGACACAGGTCAGAATGGACGAGGCCGCACCATAAGGGCCTTGTTTTAACTTAATCCCCTCTTTAAGGGCCCTGTCTCCAAATACAGTCACCTCCCTAGGGGCTCCAACATGAGTTTTGGGGTGGGCATAGTTCACCAGAAACAGTGGCCTTTGAGGGGCAGCCTCACCTCCCAGGGTGACGTCACACACTGAGTGTCACCCTCATGGAGGCCTGACCGTAATCCTCGTAGTCACCCTGTAGGTCGGGGTCTTGTCCTCCTGTCACAGGATGGGAGGCTGAGGTGCGGAGGGGTTAATTATCCCAGAGCTTCACAGCAGGTCAGCCCAGGCCAGGATTCAAACCCAGGCAGTTGGTAGTTTGTAACTCCCGCTGGGCTGTGGGGTACAGGGTTGGGAAGGAAGGGTCAGTGGGGAGCCGTTTTCCCATCTGATTTCTCCTCAGGTCCAGCAGATTAGAACTTTTTGGATTTCACTAAGAAAGGTCAGCTGACCTGTTCCCAGTGGTGCTTTGCTAAGTTAGCTTGGGTTAGAAATATCAGGCACTACTTGACATTAGCGGAATTACATGGGCTTGCCCTTGTTGTGACCTCAGCCTCCCTTCCCAGTGTGACGCAGTGTGACCCCAAGGCAGGGCTCGCATGGCTCACACGTCTCCTGTGCCTTTTCAGTGTGGGTGACCATCCTGAGGGACTGCAGGCCCTGGGTACCTGGTGGCGAGGCCCAGCCTCCCCGAGGTGGTAATGCCGCGTGCCGTGTCCCCTCCGGTGTTGGGGACACACCAGCGCGTGCACACCCGCGGGGCCTCCGAGGGGCCTGGGATGGGACCTGCACCCAGATGCATCCTCCCTCGGATCCTCTCCTCCCAACCCAGGCCTGGGGAAACTCCTGCCTTTCTCCTGCTTGGAGGCTTATGGGATCATGACGCCCTGGAAACCTGCCTTTCTGCTGGCAGTTTCTGGGAGCGCTGATCCTCATTCACTGGTGTGAGAAAGGGTGGCTCTTCCTCATTCCCAGGGTCACCAGGGATCAGCTTTTAGACCCCAGCAGTAGAAGCATACACATGGGCGTAAGGTCCTCAAGGTCAGTTCTAGGCAGAATGTAAAAATCTTCTGCTGTGATAACCACATAATGAGAAAGTTTTGGAGATGATTTATACAAGTCACTTTTCCCTAGGGGACAGTTTCTCAGTCTACGTGGGTATCTGCACACCTCATCTTATGTGAGGTCATTAACGTCCTGAGTCGTCTCATGTGCCCTGAGCCTGAGGAGGCCCCGTGGGGCGGGGGGCCTGCTGACCGGAGCTGACTTGTCACAGGCCCTTTGGTCCTATAGAGTCTTGGTGTCAGAGCAGTTGAGGGCCTGAGAAGCATCAAGGAGAATCACTCACGATGAGGCGGGGGCCTCCATGAGGGTGGCGGTGTTGGCACGGTGGCGGCCCCTCACTCAGATGTCACGCACAGCGACCCGGCACTGGGCCTGCCTCTTTCTCTGGGCAGCACCTGCTGTGTGTCAGCCTGTCTCTGTTCTCAATGCAGACGACGACAACCCCCCGGTGTCCTTTGTGAAGTTCTCTCCGAATGGCAAGTACATCCTCGCAGCAACGCTGGACAAGTGAGTGCCCTTGTGTCTGAATGGGGGCAGGGCATGTGGCCTCCATGCTGGGGAATCTTGGTAGAGGGTATTTCACGCTTATTGCATGATCCAGACTCCTGCTGGAGCTTAGGCTTCTGGAATGCAGACTAAGCTGGAAGGAAAGCCCCACCCATCTCTGCTGGAGGCCGAATTTCAGGTCTGAAGAAGCTTTTGGGTCTGGTTTTCTTGGTGAGTGACTGTGTGACCAGAGCATACTATCTCCCTGCGTGAAGGAGTGGATGGGACAGGGTGGCCTCTGAGGTCCTTTCTGGTTCTGACTTTGAGCACCTTGATTTGCCTCTGACAAAACTACAGAGCAGAATTTCACAGTTTGTCAACTGTCGGGCTCCTGGGTAGCCACTTGAGCCTGGCTTCTCCATGGCCACATGTGGAGCAGCCCTTGTGGGCTGTGCTTGGCCCCAGCTCCTCCGAGGGCCATGCAGTTGGGCGTTTTCACTGGTCAGTCTCCCTACCCCAGTGGTCAGAGTGAATTCGTGCCCCTGGATGGGCAAAGAGTGTTGCCAGTGAAATCTGGGTGTTTCTGGAACCGAGATGATTTCCGAGCATGGACTGATTTAGGGATGATAACACATGACGTCTTCCTTTTAAAAATTCTTTCTTTGAACTACAAATATTTGGGGCTCTCTCCTTGTGCTCTTGGGTGTCGTCCTGTTGCTGGACTTTGGGGCCCCGCACGTGGGGACGGGCTGTAGCCCCACTGGCCTCGCGGCTGGCGCTTGCTGTGGCGTGGAAGGGAGGCCTGCGGGCGCCGCCTCACGCCCTGTCTCTGTCTTGCAGCACGCTGAAGCTCTGGGACTACAGCAAGGGGAAGGTGAGTGCCAGGGCCGCGGACTTGGCTCCGGTCACAGACAACTCGGGCCGTGTGGTGGCTTTTGGAGGTAGCAGAGCTGACCCCTAGGAGGTGGAGCAGGAGGGCAGCTCAGAAGGGCGTTCTCACTGAGTTGGTTTGGTGCAAGAGTCTTGAAGACTTGGGTTTTTGCAGACTGCCATGTG